TACAGTTATTTAATATAATCCAACTTGTACCAGAAACTTGTATGCAATGATTTTCCACTAATTAGAGTAATTTTACCCTGGGGAGGAGGGTTAAGGGGGCTAGTGGGTAGGATGGAGAGATAAATGAAGTTAAATATAGTAGGAGCAAGGCTGGAGGACAAGGGTGATCATGCAAGTATTGGGTAATTGTAGGACATAAGAGGGAGGGATTGGAAGAGAAAGCCTGGGAGTACTGAAGTGAACCATAAAGAGAAGAGACAATCTTTACTCCCAGAATGTTTACTCTAAATTCAAGTGAGGTTGTTGACAAAAAAGGAGAAAGAGGACAAGTAGAAGTAAACCAAAAGATGTTAGAGCTCTAAGTCATGAAAGAAAGAGAAAAGAAGGGAAAAAAACCCAGAAAACAAAAATAACCACATACACAGAAAATACAAACAAACGTATAAAAAGAAAACAAAACAGGACAAAATAGAACAGGGGAAATAAAAAGCACCAACCCAGCCAGGTACAAAGAGGAAAAACAATCAGACAGAGAAAGGTAAAAGTAGTAAAATTCCTCTCGTGTCTACAGTTCTGTGGTAGGTTCACGGTGGATCCCAGAAATGTGCACTCTAGCCAAGTTTGCAGGTGGACTTGCGCTGGGTATGGGTCTGATCTTGGCCTCTGGATTTGGAGGACTGGATTAGTCTTCTGTGCCCAGAGTTCTCCCCAGCCCTTTAGGAAAAACTAAAGGACAGCCCTACTTGCTCAATTCTATTCCACATGTTTTTGTGCCCAAACATTACACTGGTTCACCTAAATTAGCCACTGTTGGTTCATATTGTTATTACTGCTTCAGACTTTTCCAGGCTGGTAGTCTCATCTGTCCATCCTGTGTGCCCAAGCTGGGGCCCTAATGTGTCACTGGTAATCTCACCAGCCCTCCTGGGCCGCATGATCTCGCTGGCCTATCAGGTCCTTGGGATAGAGGAAGAGGTCACCCCCTGGCCTGCCCAGGCCCTGTGGGGGCGGGAACATCACCCACAATCTTCCTTGTTATTTTTTTATAAACTCACTTTCACTGATTGACTCCTACCTTACCAATTTAGCTATATTTTCTTCATTTTTACTGTTTATTTCACATTTAGTTAGCTTCAGTGAGGCCCTCTTCATTAAAAAAAATTTTTGACCTCCATGAAATGTCCAGAGTTTTACTGACTATCCACATAAGAAGCAATAATATTTTTGCATTTGCATACAAATTAATACTCGAGTGATCAACAACTTTAGTATACTTTTTATCCTAATAAAGTTGCTTGGTGTACTTTTTGTCCTAATAAAATTATTTAATCCTAGAAAATTGATTCTGAATAGTCACTCTTTCTAAAAATAAAGTAACTGCAGACTGAAAGTTATTTTTAGTGAAAAATAAAGGGGGACAAAACTTTCTTTTTAAAAAGCACTTAAGAAATCACATTGGTTACATATAAATATCAGTTCTTGAATGAGTGGGTAGAAGAACTGAGTTTAGCCGAGAATGATGGTGTCATTAGATCGCCTACCTGTGTGCCTGTGTATTTTTAAGTTCACTTTTCTAAATGTGAGGAACAGCTTGAATGAGACTGTTGATACACCAAGAAGATCTGAACAAAAATATTAAAAGAAAGGAAAGTCCTTCAGGGTGATTTTGAAAGCTACTTTATGCCTTCCTTTCCCTTTCTTTCATCATCATTCTCATATTTCCTGATTTATTTCATTCATTTTCTACAAGATACCTTTTTAGACATTTTTAGTTTTCCCCAGGGGCTCTGATTCTGAATATTCTGTAACTTTGTAAGTAAGAGTTGTCAAGACAGATCTCCACAAGATAATAAAGAAAAAGTTGCTCAAGGATATGGAAATAACACTTACTGAGAGGACACATAGTGTGTCCCAAGTACTACGCTAAGTCCCTTTTATATGTCACTTGATTCACTTTTACAATATCTGAGTCTAGTTATACTTCCACTTCATAATAGAGAGGAGGAAACTGAGGCACAGAAAATTACTGATAATTAGCCAAATCACTGATAATTAGCCAACATAAAACTTCAAATCCAAGACTTTAACTCATAACCCCACCACCTAAATGACCAGTGAAAAGCCCCAGAGAGATCTGCTCAGAGGAGGCTGACTTGTCTGGTCCAACCAAACTGCAGCGCTGACCTGGGGAAGGGATTTCTACATCTTGTACATTTGCAAAGACATCATTCGGAGACAGGACTCTCTGACCTAGGATATTAGCTACCAGCAAATATTTGCTCAATTAGTTTTTTATATTGAAAGCTCGTAAGGTAATGAATGAATCAATTTATCCAACAATAAATCAGCCTATGCCATATATTTATGCAACAACTATTACAGCCTAAACATGCTACATAGGACCTGTGGGGGAAAAAAAAGACAAGTCAGGGAAAATGTTCTTTTTGAGGGAAACATAGCCTTATGCAGAGAGAAGACTAAAAGATGTGATTGGGGTAATCAACATTATGTGTTTGCTTCTTGCGGGGTGCAAACCATAGTTCTTCTGTGAGTTGAAAGAGAGGCAAGCTCACCGTGGAGTCAAGCAGCCACGCCTGCCTCAAGAGACCTCCTCCGCTGTTACTCTTGCTCAAAACTCTGGAGCTCACTTCCTGCCCTCGTGGGCTCACTGAAGTCCTTCGCAAGTCCAGAGCAAATTGTATTTCTCGCCATTGCTTTCCTACGACCCCAAGGTTACCACCAGCACCTTCTCCTTCACAGTCATACTACAACGTGTACATAAGACACATGCCTGGCCTACCACTTTGCAGAGCAAGCCACTGAATCTGACTTCTCCCCCAGACTGATAACTGCTCTAGAACTTGCCTAGTTCATCATTTATACTCCAACACCAAACCTCGGGCCTAGCAACACAAAAGCCACTCACTGATTGTTTGATGACAGAATTAGTTCGAGAATGAACCATAAAATCTAGTCTACGACCCATAGGGCATTGGATTCTACCCTCTGAGTGGATGATTTTCTCCTGTTTATATTATCTCCAAAAAACTGTTATCTAGGTTCCACCTGACTAAAGATAATTTCAGGGCCTGGACTCTTGAAAAGCCCTTGCAGTAGGCCAATGTTTGCATTACAGAGTCAGGTGCTAGGATTAAGAGTCACTGCTTATGTGCTGTTTCGCAAAGTGAGCCCAGGGCAGTTCACTTTCCTGCCCAAGGCCTCAGAGTTAGCTCACAGCACAACCAGATTCCCTGTACCCAGACTCACCATTGGAGTAGATGTGTTCTTTCCTGCTGAGCCAGCCTAGTGCTCTGTTAGCAAGTATATACCTGAAACTCCAACATCCCAGGCAAACCAACACATTCCACTGGTGCCTGCTAAACAAGAGCCCATCCCTTCTGTCCAGGACATCTGCCCAGGACACCATGGCAAGATGAGCACTACCAGTCCCTCCCCAGGGAAGTGGCACGACCCCCTGTGACCTCCTCTCCAGGTTCATGCAAGCCATGGCAGAAAAGTCGCCCCACCTTCTTTCTCAACCCAGCTCTAGGAAATGGCTCTGCATCATCCCCTAAGTGACCTGCTTTGCTTCCTGCTGTTTTGTCAGCTATGCAAGTGTCCTGCTTTGCTCACACTTACTGACTTTCCAGAGCCAGCATGCTTTGGTGCATAGCTGCAAATAGCCTATTTTCTGTGCAAACCCTCTTTTTCCTAGAATGACTTTATCCATAAAAGTGGATATTCTTTATTGCATGTCTCTTACGCCTCACAAAATGACTAGCATTATAACCTCTAATGCACTATGAGCAGAATAAAGCCCGAAGAGGTGAACAGTTTCCCTACACCCCAAGCTGATTCATAATAGAACAGAGATCAGAAACAGACATGCCTGGACCCAGCACCCATACTTCCACTGCCTTTCTAATGTAGGGTCACTGCTCCTCTCACACCCAGGAAGGGGAAGTTGTATAAGGTTCTTGTTTCTATGGTATCTGTGAGAGCCTAAAGCATGACTTCCTCTAAAGGGAATCTGATCGCTCTTCCCCGGTAAATCGCAGCCTCTTCCTACAGCGCTACAACACTTCAATGGACACCTGAGAAAGAGACCTTTGCATTCACAAAAACACAGCAAGGAAGCAATTATTATGTTCTCCACTTTACGATGCCCAGGGAGATTAAATAGTTTGCCCAAGATCACACAGTAATGCTGAAGAGCTGGCTGTTCAATCTGTGTTGCCTCCTAGGTTGGTTTCTGTAACATGTGCCAGTAGTGACTTGCTAGTTGCCTAGAGGTGAGTCAGTGTCAGGTTGAGAGACGAGGGGATGGTCTCCTGTACCTTCCTTTCCACTACAAACAATCAGGGCAGCCACCCTCCTGCTTCCAGCGGTGAGCATAAAACTTTTATGGGTGAAACAACTATTTACAGCAACACAGCTGGAGCCTTGGCATAGGATGAGGCAAACCATGCAGAACATGTCTGCAGTAGCACCTGCAAGGGCCACAAGTGTGGCTCATTGTCTGAACTTCACCCCACCAGCTGCGGTGTGTTTTTGTGCAACGTCCCCACACCAGTCTGACACTCAGTGTCGTAGAAGATGAAAGGACGGCTCTGACAGGGCAAGCCTCTTCTGCTCTGCAGCTGTACTCAGCTCTAAGGCTGGAGATGGGAGGCTCGGGGCAGCACAGTTCAGAATGCAAGACCTGCCCACAAAAGGGTCCGATTTCAGCCACTCTGCCAGAATATGCGGCTTCAACCACAACTGCACTCATCCTTGGCACGGGCTCAAGCTGAGGGGTGGAAACATAACTAAGCCCAGGGGTTAAACTAGAGACCTGAACATTTCTCGCTGCACATTCACACACCAGAGAAGCCTAGAGAGGACTTGACCTGAGCAAATCCCTTAATCTTCCAAAATCTTTTTCCTGGTTTGTTAGAGCAGCCAAGGGTGGGGTTGGGGCTTTTGCGAATAAAAAGCTCCGTTTCATTTTCCCCTCACAGGAGAACATGGCCAAACGAGTGGCCGTCGTGGGAGCTGGGGTCAGCGGCCTGGCCTCCATTAAGTGCTGTCTGGAGGAAGGACTGCAGCCCACCTGCTTTGAGAGGAGCAGCGACCTTGGGGGGCTGTGGAGATTCACCGTAAGTGGGGTTTCAACTGCTTCTGTTTGCCTATCACAGTGGCTTGCCTGGTGTATTTCTTCCACTTGTGCTGACTGCTCTGGATTGGCTGGAAATTTCGGTTGAGTTGGGGGAGGGCAGGAGGGGCCATGGAAACTGTAAAAGAAGCAGGCTAAGCTCTTGGGGGAGGTGTCAGTGGCCTTACTAACTTTATGCAGGACTTCAAGGAAGAAATGTTTTGTTTTCAAAGAAGCCCACAAAGTGAGGAAAAGAATGGAATGACTGGGACAAGCCAGAAAAGTCCAGGACCGGGAGAGCATGACCAGAACCAGGGGGTCCAACACAGGATCAGAGACTGCAGTGTTCAGGATTTCAGATCCTGGCTACCAGACCCAGCTGCTTTTACTCTCGTCTTTTTCGAGCCCCGTTCCATCTAGGTTAAAGTGACCCAGAACTCAGTGTTGAGGAGTTCCACAATTGGGCCCTACTGCCCAGGCAGCCCCGGTCCATGCCAAGAACAATCAGAAATAAAGAACTTGGGATGGGAGTCCTTTTTTCTCCCCGAGTGAAAGAAAAGTAATACTACCAGTTCTCACCAGGGTTCCAGTCTGGATTGGACAGCAGACTATAAAGTCCACCCTTCACTGGCCTGGAGCCCAGGGGATCACAATGGCCCTGCTTCAGGCCACTGAGACCCTCAAGCCAGGCAGAGAAAAGCTTTGTGTGAGCCCTGTGCCTCAGCCCCAGAGCACTTGGGTCAAATCGCCCCAAAGCTCCTCATTTTGCTCCTTCAAGGGAAAAAAGCATTTCCCATGAACTTTAAATGTGCTAAAGAGAAAGCTGTCAAGAATAGTGAACAGCAAAAGGTCAAAGTGCCTGGCCTCTGATCCACTGAGAAGCCAAGAGGAAGACTTACAGAAGGGTGGAATTTCAAACTGGGATGAATTATTTTCTATCTCAGAGAGCAAAGATTGTAAAAGGCCAGGCTTGAAGTGCAGTCCCACTTCTCCAGCATAGCCTGGCTCATATATCGAATGGCATATCTTAGAATGTGCCCAACCACCCAATATGATCTCCAAAGTGTAGAGATTCTCCAAAGGGAACCAGGTACAACAGCACGTCTGCTCCCATCATTCAGGCTGTATATATTCCAACAGGATGGAGGAATTCTCCTCTTCATGCCCACTCAATATTTAAGTGATAACCAAGCAATCAATCTTTTCCATAAAGAGTCTCAAATTCTTAGCACAGTAGTTCAGATAAACACAACCGATCAATCAGTTGAGAGTTAGGTTGAAAGATTAATGTTCCCAGCTAAATTAGCAATTATCTGGGTAAGGTAATCTCAGTCAAAGGAAAATGTGAATCAAAGATCAAAAGCTGTGCTATGTGTTCTGAGGTACAAGACAAGATGCTCTTTAGTTAGGTCACAGGCACCTAATTATTAACCTGAAAACTCATCTCTAAGAATCAAGAGAAACGAGTCTAAATCCAGCTGTGTCCAACTGGCTGTGTGACTCTAGCAGATCAAATAACTATGCAGAAAGCTCTGTGATGAACACAAGAATGGGAAAGATTCCTGAGGAGCTGGCAGAAGGCAGAAGACTAAGACTGTAAATCAGTAACAGTGCTGATTTAAAGGAGGGCTGGATTATAGCTACTCATGGAAAGCCAGGGGGGTTCATAGAAGAAATAGCCCATGATGGGCTTTGAATGATGTCAGCAGTCGGAGGAGATTAAGCAGAAGGTATCAAGAAGGGAACCAGTAAAGCAAATGTGTCCAGTGTGTTTAGAAAATGAAAACAGCCTATTGGTCCCTGCGGTACATGTAAGAGGAATATCAGGAAAGAAGAGGTTGGTTGAATCAAGAGGTTGATATTCAATTCACAATGCAACAGCTAACCAGTAAATTTAAGGAGATTGTTTGTTATGATTGTTGTTAGTTTGTTGTTGTTTGTTTTGTGTGCATAATGGGAAGACCCAAAGTTCTTTGTAGGCAAAGGAAAAAATCTCTGGTTCATAGGAAAAAATTGAACACACAAGTCCAAATTAAATGGAATTATAAGCACAGGTGAGAGGGTTAGCACTGCAAGAACAGAAGACAAGAGATACCTTGTCGGGAGACTAGAGGGAAAAGGCAAGTGAACCCTGAGAGAAGGAAAGAGAGGCTAAAGGAGCACACACTCCAGAGGCCCCAATTCTTTCTGGAAAATATGGCAGCGAGGGAAGACAAAGAGGGTGTTGGGGTAGTAAGTGGAGAAGGAGAATTAGAAAAACAGAAGAGGTCATGAAAAGTCACTGTGGACAAGAAATCAAGATGTCTAAGAGGATTATCAAGCAGTGGCCAAGGTAAAATGAGACCCAATTAACAAGTTATTGCACTTCTACTATCTAACTTATAAAATAAAAATATGGGACCAGTTTGAAAAACAGATATATCTGAATTTCTAGTGGACTGAGAAGTAGGAAAATCCCCACCACATACTTTTATTTAGCAGCTCTGTGTTGATACTGCAGCTTCTTGAGATGCCTCTGAAACACTTTGAGACTTCCCTAAAGGCTGATGGGAAATCTCCAAACTAGGTGATGTTTAAGGTATCTTCTAGCTTCAACATGCTATGAGCCTTTGAAGTCTTTCCCAAAACATCCCTTTCCTCCTCCTTCCCCAACTACACACACACACACACATACACTTGAGTGCATGTACACACCCTATAGAGGATCAGTTGGAGGTATTTTGGCATGCAGAATGGGAGGTCCATTCAAAACCTGCAGAATTAAAAAGGCAGCTCTAGCAATGGCTGCACTTGCCAGGAGATGTATATACAAAGTGGGATCTGTAGTGTCTGATATAAGGGAGAATCTTACAGAAAAAAAGGGGCATATATATATATATATATATATATATACATACACACACATACACACACATAGGATAACTGAGAGAGTCGTACTACAGACTTCTATTGCTTTATTGAAAGGAACAGTTAATGTTTAATTGTTTGATCAATCTTACATGCTTATATTTGTTTAACTGAGTAAACAATTTGAAGATAACAATATGTAATACCGTAACTATTGTTAATTTCCTATCACCTTGTCTGAAACACTATTGCTTCTATTGTTTGGGTGTTGTTTTGTTTATGTCTGTTTGTTTGTTAATGTCTTTTCATTCTTTATCTTTAAAAATAAAAAAATTTTAAAAAGAGAGGCAAAGTGCAGAAATCCAACAACACATATGGAGAAGACAGTTTCCATTTCCAAACAGGAAGAGGGCACAAAGCTTATAAAGATGATAAGCCATTGCCCATGACACTGCCATGGGCATGACTGTAGTTGCTTCCAGCTACCATAGACTAAGGAAAGAGGATGCTGACAGTGCAGTGGAAAAGTAAGGATATGATAGGTTGGGACAGAACACAGGGTGGCAGTCATTAAAAAGCAAAGGGACACATTGGTAAAGAACCACCTTGGGCTGACCTGGACCTCGACTGCAGGTGGGACCCATGTGGAACTCCTGTACCATAGCTAGTTCTTGCAGACCCCTGACAGGGAGGGGGGCTCAGGGGAGTGACACTAAGGGGGGATTACCTCAGTCATAAAATAGTAGTTGAAGAAACAGAATTGCACTAAAAAATCACTAAAATCATTTAAAAATCTAAAAGTAATCAACTCTGCTAGTAGAAACACGTTCTGCTTCATCCTTCAAATCCCTGTAACCTATTCAAGGTGTAATCATCATCCCTGGGCCCATATCCTTCTTTAATCTGCATCAAGATCTTTTCTTCTGTTCATGCGTCCTTTCATTCATTTAGCAACTATTTACTGATCACCTACTCCATGTCTTACACACCACGCGTTTTTACTTTCAGCGAGGGTAACGATGGGAGGAAAATACACTTCATTGAAAGTGTTTTCCCTAGCTATGTCTTCCTTTTTGGTAAGCCTGATTCCCACCTAAAACCTTTTTAAAGAGCCTTATTTCTAAAACTCCAGTAATCTCAGTAGGTTTCCTTTTTCCTTTTATCCATATATTTAATAAACGTTTGTCTAGTTCCAGTTAAGCATATGGGGATACACCCAGCAGGCCCCTACTCCCGCCCCCCCCCCAGCTTCCCCTAAGGTTGTCCAGCTCTCCTCTGCTGTAGACCCAGGAGCTGCACCCTGCACTCCAGAGCCAGTGTGATTCTCACCAGGAAGAGGGGGCAGAAACAGTGGTACTGATTTCATCTAAAGGGAAAGGGAAACAATTACGCCTGAAGCTCAGGGGATACGAATGATGCCAGGATGCAGACAAGGCCTCCAGTTAGGAGTTTCATTACCATTTTCAGCCTATTTTTAAAATGAGAAAAGACCTTTGACCTGACAATTGTGTTCCCATTGCCAACAAGCCTGAAGGACACAGGCTTAAGAAAGCAAATCCTCTTGGAAGTTCTAGGAAAATCACCTGGATAATAGTTAACCTTTACTGAGAGCTTATCAGGCATTCTTCTAAATGAATTGTAGCTATCTATCATTTCTGTTTATTTAAAGTCTGTACCCCTGATGCTCCCACATGTACAGGAGGGAACTGAGACACAGACAGGTTAGGAAAATTTCAAAGATCACCTGGCCAAAAACTGCAGAGCTTGAATGGGGACCTGGGCAGTCTGACTCTGAGGGCTGTGCTGAGAAGAACTACTTTCCATGCATCTGCAGTCTCTTTCACAGCCCAGAGATCAGACAAATCCTGACTGTGGTGTGCGGCATCCCACCAAGTGTCCCAGAGAGTCATGGTGATATTCCCTCTGTGCTGCAGAACCCCACCAGGCGTGCTCTTGCTCATTTCCCTTTTTCTGCAGCCCAGCTTTCTACTCCTCTTCTCTCTCAATCATTTTTCCTTCATGAGAACAAAATCTTCCCCTTAAATGGCGCCATCAATTCCCAGAGGGCATGTGCTCCCACACTCAAGTGCCAGGGCAATTGGCAGACCCACACAGGGACAGTGCCAGGAGTGTCTGCAGCTGAAGAGGTTAGAAACCCAGCAGCGGGGGTCGGAATCACCCAGGCAGCTTGCTAACCATGGCAAACAGGAGGGGAGGACCCAGAGCCCACAAATGCCATTCAGAAGCACATGAGCCCATGCTCTTTGTACAGATGGTACACACTCCAGAACTTGCATTTTTCCAACAGAAAGAACAAAAGCAGTGGGAGGAAAGAGAGCAGAGTTCATCTTGGATTCCACCCTAGGAGTTGAGTTTCCTTTACAAGCCACAGCTTCTCATGCGCTAACATCTGTGATACATTATTTCACAATGGCTGTGTTGCCTGGAAGCTCTGCTTCCTCCTGCCTTTATAATTATCTTCCTAAATTTTGCAGTGATGTTTGTCCCCCTCAGTTTTTGTCTGTTCATTCATCTGCTTTAAGATCTCATAAAATTCACTACTCTGTCTTATCCCGTGCCAATGAGTTCCCATTACTCTCTAATGTTTAAATGTGCCATTAGAAATGCTTTCAATTTGTGAACTATTCTTATGAAAATCTTTACAAAGCGTATTATATACAATTACCTCCTTAAACAGCATGGATGTCAAATTTAGCCTGTATTATTGTTTGCTGAAACCTGATAGCACTGACGACAAAGTACTTACCCTGAGATGTTCCTGGAAGCCACAGAAACATAAAGGAAAGTTGGCCTTTCATGAATTGATTCCAAAATCTTTATAATTGATGATTTTTCTGTCAACCCTGTAGGGTCTTTTACTTGCTGTTTATTCTTACTTCAACATTACAGTTCTTTATAACTACTCTTCTTATTCCTGTAATGCTAAGGAAAGCTGAGTGATGTTTTGATTAAATCGAATCAAAACGTTCAGTTCTAATATCCACCCTCGGGTCTGGTGAAGTTCTAAAACTGTGCTATCCAACACAGCACCCGCTAGCCACATAGCTATGAAACACTTGAAAGCTAGCGACTAGGATTAAGGAACTGTATTTTTGTTTTATTTAATTTTCATTAAACCCAATGTGTTTATTTTAAAACTTTTAAGTGCATTTAGATAAACGTGGGTATTTGAATACATTTTTTCTAATGAAAATTTAACATTTGACTTTATATGTCTAAAATAGTCATCAGATTTTGAAGACAGTATGAGGAAAAGAATGAAAGCACTTTATTAATAAGTCATATTGATTACATATTGAAAGGATAACATTTTGAATGTTTGCTTTTAGGTAAACTGTACTTTTAACGTTAATTTCATCTGTTTCTCTTTACTTTTTTAATATTGCTAGGAAAAGCTTTTAAAGTACATGTGTATGTGGCTTCCATCACATTCCTAGTGGGCAGTGCTATTGTAAAGACCTTACTCAATGCATGGTCCATAGACTAGCAGCATATAAATAAAATATGTGAGTGCGTTTAAGAAACATGAAATCTCAGGCTCTTCCACACCTACTCAGTCAGCTTCTTCCTGGTAATGAGATTTCCCAGGCAAATCTTAACAGCTAGAGGCACTGGCGTGTCTAGAGAGTTGTGCTTCTCAAACTGCACAGAGCAACTGTTTTTTCCAGTTTCTAATTAACTATAGATGACTGTTAAGAACAATAAAAATGAATTTTTACAAAAGATGAAAATAACAAGAAAAATGTACAAAATATATTAAATACAGAAACTGTCATAGACTCAGAAATCACAAAATTAATTTCAATAAATGTCACTGAGCACAAAACAGAAATAAGAGGAAGCAACTACAAAAATGGACACATTGTTCTTTGAAAATGCACACAATAAGCAATTAATATAGAGAAGCGAGAATACTATTACACTTGTACATTTTGGTCAAACAGAACATTTGTGTGAAGCAGGAGTTATCCACCTTAAACACCTGCAGGCACACTTTGAATGCTTTCTATAGATATTACCTAAGGTTTACAATAAGAGAATTAAGCTTGTGTCTTACTGATCAATGTATATACTGGACTGGGTGGATGGCAATATTCTTTCTAGTGGAAAACATAATTTTTTTTTTTTTTCCGGTACCGGGAATCAAACTCACGACCTTGCGCTTGCCAGGCAGGCGCTGTGCCGCTGAGCTAAATCCCAAGCCCCAGGAAAACATAAATTTAAACTATGTCTAAGTATTGTTTAACTGTATTTAAAGTAGAGAAACAAAGCTAACAGAGTTATGTTGATTTGAATGGAAGAGATTTTAAAGCAATTAAATTCTTTTTTTAAAATTTTATCTTCAACCTTTTTTTTTTTTGTTGGTGCTAGGAATTGAACTCAGGACCTTGCACTTGCCAGGCAGGGGCTGTGCTGCTGACCTATATCCCAGGCCCTATCTTCAATCTTTTATCAGTGGCCAGTTCAAAGGATTGACCATGAAATGTTAGAGTTAAATATGTGATTTTCAATAAAGTAAGATGGTTGCAGATTTTTAAGCACTTTAGGAAATTTTAACACTTTAAAACTCTTAGCACTTTAGCAATTTCAAATTAAACTTAAAACACCACCCAACATGATGCAGTTCTACTGCGTATGATTAGTGCCCAGCTCAAACTCGATGCAGCTCAGCACATAAGTCAGACAAACCACCAAGACCGACCTATGTTCTGTGCAGAAAAATGAATCCACATGCTTGGGCATTGAGCAATGTCAAATTATTGCTGCAAATGGCACTAATTGCTCACTCTCAATTTCATATTTATCTTGTCACAGATATTGGTACTGTTCTGCAGACTACTTTTGATTAACACTGATTGAGATGTACAAGCAGAACAAACGATCAAGACTTAAATAACTGTCTTTCTCCAAAGCCTTTTAGCTTCTAGCTTTCTAGCTATATTCTGAAAAGGTGGGGCTGGCAGATGGGCTGGCAGATAAGGAGGTAATTACAGTCAACACAGATCAGCACAGATCAGTAACACTAGTTGAAATCACAGAATTATATTTATAATTTTTTTCTCTGTGACTGATGTATATCTCATGCGATTCTAGGCCATACCCCTTGGGAAACACAGTAAGTAATTTCTGTATGTGAGATTTGTATTTATATTTTCCCTTGACTACATATACAAAATAATTTCTATTTCCCTGGAAACAGAAACTGCATATCCAACATGGTAAATAACAGTAAAATACAGAGAATCTTTCTAACTGAAAAGAGGAGAACAATACTCCATAGCACCATCCAAGACAGAAACAATGTACAATCAAGACATGACTGTATTCTTTTTGCTTAATCTTTAGTGTTCACTGGTTATTCAAGTCAAAACTGGGGCTAGGAAACTAGTCAGTGTGTGCTATCTCACAGTTATCCAATATGGGAATCTTTAACCTGTTTTCTCTCCCCTTTAAATTCAACTGGTCAGGCAAATTCTATGTTTTACCTTACTACTATCAAACAAATCCTTGCTCTATGTCCCAAATGCCATTACCTCTGCTCAGGTCTTCAGTTAGCATCAAATAGATTTGTAATTTAGGCTCTTAACTGGTTTACTTCTCTTTTTTTGACCTCTCTCTACTTCATCTTTTGTAGAACCAATATCTTTCCAAAGTTGAACAGAAATCACCTCCATGTTTAAAAAATTCAGTATATTGTCATAACCTTCCTATAAATATCCAAATATCTTAACATTGGATACAAAGCCTTCATAATATAAAGCCCACTTCTCCATAGTCTTTTCAAGAACTTTCGATGAAAGCAATGTGCCTAGCAGTTGTTCGTCATCCCCGAACTGCTTCCAGGCTCTTGTCTGTTTCTCTGTTCTCCTGTACTTTGCAGTGGTAGTGGTTGTTTATGAACAAGTGAGTTCATCCCGGGTTGATTTGTTAGCATGTAATGAATAGAATAGTAATTTTGACCATGTAGTTTATACTAGGTCCAATATTTATCATCTTCCAAATGCAGAATAGCAACTTCTATTAGAAAGGTGGCAGGTAGCATATGCCACCTGTATCATTTTAAGCTTGGTCAATGTTTTAGATTTCTAAAAAAATTGTCACACATTGTGTGTGTGTGGTTATGCTCATGTGTGTGTGCCCTTTGTACAGGAAAATGTTGAAGAAGGAAGAGCCAGTCTGTACAAGTCTGTGGTTTCCAACAGCAGCAAAGAGATGTCTTGCTACTCCGATTTTCCATTTCCAGAAGATTATCCAAACTTTATACCCAATGATCTACTCCTAGAATACCTCAAACTGTATGCAAAGCAGTTCAACCTTCTGAAATGCATTCAATTCAAGGTAAGACACAAAGCATCAATTAGTAGTTAGGAAGTATCTGACTATTTTCTACTATTTGTGGATACCATAACCCCCAGGTTCTGCAGATGACATGAAGAACTGGCAAGATTAATGACACCTTTTCTAGAGGACTGATTGCTAATACAAATGTAGAGATCCAATAGGCCTTTTGAATAATTACTGTAAGCCAAACAGTAAACTCATCAGAAGAGACTTGAAAGCCCCATCTTTTTTGAAAACTTTGAAAAGGATAACAAAGGCAGTAAAGTCTGATTAGTGAGTAATTTTTTCCTTTAAATTTGATTTGTATTAGATTTACTATAAGTATAATTCCTGGGGCCGCTATTGAGTCACTTGCATAGAATGTGCAAGGCTCTAGGTTCAATCTGTTACCACAAAATTAATTAATCTCCTAAATCCGAATCTAGTACTTACAGACATATGTGTACTCAGTGAGAACCAAAACTAAATTCTTTAAACTTTGGACCACTCCCCAAATGTTAGCAGTTTTCAACAGCTCTTTAGACCCGAGAAAGTTTCAGCAACATATTCTGTGAGAACTTTCATAAGCTATTTGGCACCAACTTTATATTTTCAAATATATATATATAATCCATGTCTCTATTAAAGGGACTACTGCTAAAGAGAAAGCTCTGTGTAAAATAAGATCCACAACAGAAATATTTCAGAAATCTAAATTACGATCTTGATCCTATCCCTTCCTGAGAATTTGAGAAAATCAGTTAAGATCTTTGGATTCCTATCACTTCTGTAAGATGCCCTTCCAAACTCTAGGCTTAGAATACTTTCATCCAAGAAATCATGACCAGGCCAAAAGCCTGATGAGGATTCTAGGGTTCTGCTTATTAATTATTTTTAGCCCATGCTCTAGAACTTTTGAAACATTAACTGGTATGTCAACCAGCAAGCCCTTAGTAGAACCCACTGTCAATCACGCTTATGATTCTATTTCAGACCAAAGTCTGCAGTGTAACAAAGTGCCCAGATTTTGACGTCACTGGCCAATGGGAAGTGGTCACTCTGCGTGAAGGGAAGCAAAGCTCAGCCATCTTTGATGCTGTCATGGTTTGCACTGGTTTTCTCACTGACTTTCATCTGCCACTGAGTTCCTTCCCAGGTACAGCACTTCCTACAAGTGAATTTCAGTTTTCTTATGGGACTCATCCTGATCCTTGACTGGTCTGGGGATGAACTCTTATGATTCCTTTATTAAATGGCTAAATTTTTGAGGTAATAGTTTGTTTTTTTTCTAGCCAGAATTGTTTCCACCCAGCCAGTTTTGTGGTTTTCAAACAAACAGAAGAGAATAATGGATAATTTATTAAATGGACTTGTGCTCTGCTCAGGTTCTATCTCTCTCCTTAATGAAAAACAGCGCTCACAGTGTCTTCTGAAATATGGGACACTTAGACAAGGTGCTTGCATAACAGCTGCTGCAACTGCCAAAGTTGATTTTAGAGGTCACAGAGGTCAATCTGTGCTTAAAGAAGTAGTTTGATATGTTTATTTTTTTGCTTTTTATGAGCTATAACAATTAACTAGATCAGAGGTTTATGGCCCTGCATCAATAGTCAACAGGGCAATGAACCTTGGAGGACAAGGTAATATCTTGGGTCTCAGTTTCTTTACCTGAGTTTTACAGTCATGACTGATGTTAACTAATGTTCAATTTCAATTGGATTTCCACTCAGGGGAATAGAACATGCAATGGTTACTCTAGTTCACCTATAGTAAGTATTCTAACAGTTTGAGGAAACTTTTTCCCAAAACATCTAGATATAGCCTGGAGTGATCCCAAAACTCATGTCAATAAACTCATGCTCCTCCAGTAGTCCTGGATCTGCCCCAGAGGTCCCACAAGTCAGGTCAGAGTAGAATAAAGTATTTCCTGAGAACTGTCACAGAACAGAATCATTGAGTGGAAAAGACTGAAGTTCAATCTTCTTCCTAATGCAAAAAGTTATTCTCAAACATCCGCAATGGAGGCTCAAAGTCTCTGCTTGCACACATTCAAAGGTGGACACTCATTAACCCACATGACAACGGAACCCTTTGGGAGTTCCTGCCTGCGGAGCAAAGCCCTGAGCAGCCAACCTCTCCATTCTCTCAGGAAGAAGCACTTGATATGGGATATCCCGAACACTCAGGAAGTTCCGTGGGATGATGAGATTGCACCTATTCAGTACCTACAGTGCAGGACACTAGGCACTAAGAATACAGAAGCAGAGTCCAGAGAACAATCGGTCTGCAGATGACCTTCAGGGATACCAACACTCATGTTCAATAAATTCATACCTACCATGCTCCTGGATGTGCCCCAAGTCATGTCAAATTAGGATAAAGCGGATCCTGAAAGCAGCAAAACCAATGTACTCAATTTGAGTGGAATGACGTGATTCAGAAGGTATACAGCTAAGGCACACAGCTCAGGCACACAGTCTGTGTTCTTCACCCTCCCCTTCACCTTGCTAAGCCTCTTTTTTCCACCATAAATTGATGAGCTTGCATGACTTTACCCCGTGGTGCACATCACAAATCAAGCACAGGAAGCTCTATTAAATTCACCATCCTTTTTACTTTCCATTTACCAGGCACTACCAATCTTAAATCCCGGACTAAATGACTGTCAGGGATTCTTTAAGCTCTAAGATTCTGTGATTCTAGACTTGAATTGAAGTCCTGCCAATTGCACCATACCTCCCTGCCTTCCAGCAGACTTGCTTAGACCGTACATACTCCTTGGGGCATTGTAAACTGTGACAAAAGTTCAAATTTACTCAAGATATAAAAAACATGCTTTTCAAGTTCTGAAAGCAAGTCCAAAGTGAACCCAAAAGTCTTCGTTAAAAAAAATAAATACCACAGGTAAAATAGATGCATAATTCCCCAAAATGATTACTTTTGTTCACTTAGCTATATATACTCTAGTGCTTTTCAAAACAACCACAGTTCCCTAATACGAATTCTTACTCTATTCTCCTACAAGGTAAGAGGGCAAAATATTGGTCCATAGGAAATTCACCCACACACACAGTCTCACTGGTGTCCACTTGTGACCCCAAGCAATCTAATACGAGGGAATCTATGGTAATCTGAAAATCTACAGATAATTCTAGAATTCTCCTTAGGCTTTTCCAGCTCTGCTTTCTCAGCAGCTATTTGATTCATATTAGATTTCTGTGCTGAGTTAATATTTGAACCTGATTGCATCCTTGCCAAATTCTGAACGCTGTGGATCATGCATAGGTTTTAACCAGGATTCATGCTAGAGTTTTGATGATTCAGACGGAGCTAAAGAGCAGCCAGCAGTTCCAAATAAAGACCACTTCCCACACACATACCTATTTGTCCCGAGGATCTAGATACCTTAGCACTTTTTCTTTATCTCAGAAAAACAAGGTTCTTTGTTCAGCACACATTACTTCTGATTGTGTAACTCGGCTTTGAAAATTTTCAAAAACTCTGCATTTGCACTGGATGTCTCAATGAGATTTGGCACCAACTGCATGAGACATCAATGGTAGTTAGCCGAGTAGACATAACCTTGGTGTCATGGACATAACCCTTTATTCTCTCTGCCAACTCTGGATCCCTCAGCCTGAGTTACAGCCAGTGCCAAGGTAAATTACCAGTGAACATCTCCAACTCATTTGGATCTTTGTAAACAAGGAACATGTTTCACTTACTTTATTTCCCTCATATCATCTATTTTTTCTTTTTTTTTTTTGGTATCGGAAATCGAACTCGGGACCTTGCGCTTGCCAGGCAGGTGCTTACGCCAATGAGCTATATCCCTGGCCCTCCCTCATATCATCTAACACAGTGCCAGGTACATAGCAGATGTTCCCAAAAGGCTTCTGAACAGAGGCACTGATTCCATTTCCCTTCAATGTCATTGCTCTTCCTACCAGTTTATGAAAGTACTATGGTATATATAAATCAAATATTAGTAAGTAGAATATTATCATCCCACTGACGTTATCAACCTTTAAATAATAGTGACTTCTTACACTTTTGCTTAACATTACTTTACGCCCTGATACTTTAACTTAGTAGTTAATCATCTAATGAGACAACCAGAGGCTTTTTTAGTGAGATGAAGTTATTGTCCATCTTTACCCATAATTACATTTTGTAAAGTCATGTATTCGTGTTTTAGATTTCCTCAAACTTAAGTATATTGGTAAAAATAACCTAACTCATGTATCAAAAGGATATTATCAACTAAAAAATATTTTTTACTCTATAAATTCCCTATTTGTCTTTGTTTTTTCTATAGGTATAAATACCTTTAAAGGACAGTACTTTCATAGCCGAGAGTACAAACATCCAGACATATTTAAGGACAAGAGAGTGCTTGTGGTTGGAATGGGGAATTCTGGCACGGACATTGCTGTGGAGGCCAGCCACCTGGCAAAAAAGGTACCATGCTTGATACTACTTAGTGAAGAGCTTTATCTTGCTATACGTCTCAAGTAAATGCTGTTTGACACCATGATAAATGTTAAAGATTAAAAATACCAACACCCAAAACTTCCTTCAGGTGGCATTAGGGATTTAATCCAGGGCCTTCATACCCAACCACACGTCCAGACCTGCTACACCACAGAACCCAGCTACAGCATATTTTTAAAGTATTTTTCACTGAGTGTTCATAAATTTTACAGTGAGTTCCAGTTATTGTCTTTCCACTAAAACCAACTTCTCTGACTTCATATTTTTGTCATCTTCCTGGCTATCAAATAAGAGCTACAAGACATCGCTTCCTTTCTCAGTCCCATAGGTCAGAAGATCCTGATCATTTTTCCTTGGTTAGGTCTGCCATTTGCCCTTTCTTTCCTGATTTATTGCCAGGTCTCATACGAGACTTTCACCTTGTCTTCTAAAGAATAACTATAGAAAGAGTTAATAGTTTTAAGATTACTGTTTGCCAAGCATTGCCCTAAATGTTTTTCACTGCATTGCTTCAACTAATCATTAAAACAAGGCCCTGAAGTGAGTGCTATCAGTATCCCTGATCATAGATGCAGAAACTAAGGTTGACAGAGGTCAAGTCACCTACCTAACTCCATACCACTAGTTAGTGGTGCAGCCATTCCTCACACCCTAGTCTTTTTGACTCAAAGCCTATGCTCCTAATTCTTCCCTTTATCCAGGCACCTTTCCCTATAGTCCATCCTTGCACTTTCAACAATTCATGCAGAACATCCACCAACAAACAAATCCTCCAAATACTCTGTAGTATTCCCACAGGATACTTTCATGTTGAAACCCTAATAACTGTTCTCAGGCACGTGTGGCATTCCCAGTAGGTGGATCTGTGCTAGCTTCTGTTTCAGCTGCTCTATTGTCTCGCTTCAGGAGAAGGCAGCCCAGTTGCCAAGTGTCTTGAAATCAATTAATGAATCTATCCATCAATGAATCAATCATTAAGTCTTTTTTTTAAAGGTTAACACAGGTCCATCCACTGTGACTGCCACATGTGGGTGACATATTATTGCTTTTTTTCCTGCTCTAATCTTTTGGAAATTTCTTCAATCAGAAAATATGCTTTGGCACCAGGTACAAGGGCTATTCAAGAGGCTAACGCAAGAAGATTTAAGGCCAGCCTGGGCAATTTAGTGAGATCCTTTTAAGATATAAAATAAAATATAAAAATGGATGAGGATACAGGTCAGTGTGAGGCCAGTGGTTCAATATCCAATACCACAAAAAGAAAGAGGAGGAGAAGGAAGAAAACATGCTGCCTTGGCATACATTTTACTTCTGTATCAGCAAACAAACTCTCTTTGACTTAAAATATAATACATATCTAACATAATATCCTATCTACTTTGACATCAAGATGCAGAAAGGCAAGATCAACACACACGGCTCATGTCAGAACCAATGAGGGACCTGAAGTCCCTGTCACCACATTCCAGAGCTGTGTAAACCATTTCATGAAGGCACAAGGTCAAACAAAAACACTAGCACTGTGGATGTGGCCTTCATGCCCCGGTTTGGTGGAAGAAAAATCAATCTATTAGGTCAACTGTTTTGTATCAGCAAGGTAATGAATGGTTGACTAAATTCTTTTGTTTTTCAAACAACTATAGAGGAAATTCCTTATTGTATAGATACCAATGTAACTATTAGTTTTTGTGAACCGTGTCAACTAGAAGAAGCCATCTGTTAAAAAAAAAAAAAAGAAAAAGAAAAAGCAAACACCCAAACTAATTGCACTACTATTTTACCGCCAGTTAAACCAATGGTTTGTGTGGAAATTATCTTCATAGACAACTCCAAATTTTTGTCCCATCCTGTTCTTCTTGGCTACAGTTACAATTGACAAAGTTGCATTCAACTGTTCATTGTCTGCTGGGGATATAGCTCAGCAGCACAGTGCCTGCCTGGCAGTCTCAAGGTGCTGAGTTCAATTCCCGGTACTAGAAAAACAAAAACAATAACAACAAAAAAACTACATTTGTCTACTTACATGAGAATTTAACTCCAGAGGGCTTACCAGAGTAACTCCAACCTGCCAAATAAGGGCTTGTTAATATGTCCTAAAACTTTTTAATACTTTATATATTCACACTATTATCCCAAGAGACTAACTTTTAAATGGCAGTTAAAAGAACCTAGACTTTCTTGTATTTTGAGGGTGCCTGTCAATTCCTAACTCTCCTTGAATCTCTTTGATTGCTTCCAGGTGTTCCTCAGCACCACTGGAGGTGCGTGGGTGATCAGCCGAGTCTTTGACTCAGGGTACCCATGGGACATGGTGTTCATGACACGATTTCAAAATGCATTCAGAAATTTTCTCCCAACTCCAATTGTGTCTTGGTTGATAGCAAAAAAGATGAACAGCTGGTTCAATCATGCAAATTATGGCTTAGAACCTGAAGACAAGTAAGTGTGGCGTGTACACCACAGGCTCTTAGGGAGGCGGAAGCGGAATCTTTCCAGTGCCACACAAGCCATGCGCTATTATGGCAATATGTATAGAGGTTTAAAATTTCCCATATTTTTTTAACGTGAGTCAAAATTTTTATTCATTCATTTCTTGCATTTCAAGCATTCTGTGATGACATCCTGGGCCCAAGATTCTTTGCTGTAGTCCTTAACCACCACACAACTGCAACCAACCACTTTAGCCGGTTTCCCCTCTTAGTCCGTCTTACAAAGACCTACCCATTCCCCCGGTTTCCTGGTGTCATCAGCCTTAATTGGGTTGATTTGGTGATCAGCACAAAGGGCCTCCACTAACTTAACACACATAGGCTCATCACAGCTGGACGCAAGTCCACAAAAATGGGCTGCTTAGCTTGTTTAAGGCTCCGGCAGCTTTGCAAATTCCACATGCTAGGTTATTGTGGATGGAGGCGGTCTTCAGTACCTCTTGTAATGCAGTATTACTGGTGATAATAATATCTAGCTGTTCTTAAGTGCTCAGTAAATGAATTTATGTATTTAGCTCTTTAGGGTAAATATTATTAGGTATAATCCCCCTTTCATTGTAGGATAAATGAGACTTAGCCAAAGTTAATCACTTGCCCAAGCTCATTTAGTAGTGAGAAATCTCTGTGACCTTGATGAGTTACTTCGGCCTCAGTTGCAGCAAAGAAAAGCAGCTAATTTGCTTATGATTTTGTTGACAAAAACAACACACTTGCATTGTTTCACTGTCCTAGAAAGTTTGAATCCTATAGTTGTCCTTTCGTCTTTCTTCTTACCTTGGTCAAGATGATCCTAAGTTCAGTCTGTCCCTTTAATGACAACCTATGACTTAGCCCATTATCAAGAACCAGAGGTTATACTTTTTATTCACTGAGTCTCTATAGTGAAATTCCATTACCAGGTAACACTACAGCACAGAGATTGTGTCTGTTCTCCCTCAAAATTTCACTCTGGACCCCCACGTGTGTCAGTGGTCCACGCCATCACCATGGGCACACACTCTCCCCCTCATCACATGTACTTCTGCCTTCTACTTGACACTCTCCTCTTTTTATTGTGTTCATTTTTTTTTTCTTATTTCTTCTCTTCTCCCTTCTCAAGGCTTCTCGGGGGGCTTTGACTCTTCCTACTATAGTTCTTTCTACCATAAATTTTATTTCTCCTCAATGGTGTCTCACAGGACTAAAGTATTATAAACCTTCTTCTCTCCTTCTGATGTAGTTAGTCCTTTACCATTTCTAATGTTCCTACATATATACTATCACATGCTCTTTCATTCTACCCAGTGACCTAAAGATGGCAAGGTGTTACTATCCTTATTTTATATATGAGCAGAAGAAAGCCCACAGGGACCATATGACTTGCTCAAGCTCTGTTAAATTGAAATACACAACTAGAAAAGAACCATTCTTAGTACTTCCCACATTAGTTCTATTTCTTTTGTACCACACTGTCTGTCCTGGATATCCATAAGCCAAACATGGCTCAGCTTATAGAAAATCAACTCACACAGTGTTCATCTTATGATTCCAAGTACACAGCCTGAAAAAGATGAGTCTGTTCTTGTTACTTAAATAATTGTTTTCTAAGAGGAAGATCTGGATAGAGCATCCAACAGCTCTCATATGGAAGTCCCTGCTTGTCCTTGTAGCCCTTCAAACTTGAGCTAGCTCTAGAATGACAGTGATAACTAAACATCAGCAAAACAAACAGAAGCTAAAGAAAGTTCTTTTGAGATCTTCCCAACTCTAATAAATAGTAGGCATATTTTATAATCCTTGGACATTATGAGTCCTTCTCTCAGAGGTAACATCTCCCCAAACAGGCACCTCTTATCCAGCCAAAGGGAGAGCCTTAAAATGGAGAGAGAAAGGAAAGAAGAGAGGGGGGCTGGCTGTGTTTTTCACCTGCAGATTTCTTCCCGATCCTTGTTTTTGTTAGGATTCATCTGAGAGAACCTGTGATAAATGATGAGCTCCCGGGCCGTATCATCACTGGGAAAGTGTTGATCAAGCCCAAAATAAAGGAAGTGAAGGAAAATTCTGTCATATTTAACAACAGCCCAAAGGAAGAACCCATTGATGTCATTGTTTTTGCCACTGGATATACCTTTGCTTTCCCCTTTCTTGATGAATCGGTGGTGAAAGTTGAAGATGACCAGGCATCATTGTACAAGTATATCTTTCCTGCACATCTGCAAAAACCAACCCTAGCTGTTATTGGCCTCATCAAACCCTTGGGCTCCATACTACCTACAGGAGAAACACAAGCTCGCTGGGTTGTTCAAGTCCTGAAAGGTTAGTAAATGAGAAATAGCAGGGTGTATGGTTTTGTTTTGCCATGTGACTTTGGATACTAGAAATGTTGAAACTATTACTTAGCTCCTATTTAACAAAAGCCTTTAAAAACAGGATCCATTCTATTATACACTGAGTTCACTGAATTAGAGTTATTCTGCCATAATGACTTGGACTATCACCAGTAGCAATGGTAAATCAGGGATCAAAAATTGTAAGTTGTGTCTTCCTGTTATTTTGATTGAGTCAAACAGTTCATCTAAAATTTAAAAGTTCAATCAACTGAGTGACTAAACTGAGTCAAACCAGTTGTATGATTCTGCCATATCAAATAACAAGAGACATGACCACATATCTATCTCTTTAGTTGGTAGTACTAATACCAGGAGCATACCACCAGCTGGCTCAGGGTACCAGAAATGAAAAATTAGTGGAATTAAAACGTTTTATCCATAAGTAAACACCTAGACCTAAATTTAAATTACATTTTCTGTTTCTTATTTTATAGGTGTTACCGCATTACCACCACCACATGTCATGATAAAAGAAGTCAACGAAAGGAAAAAAAATAAGCACAATGGGTGAGTGAACTCACTAGGTATTCTTTTTGAGTTATAACTGAAATTGTCAAACAACAGCAGGAGGATGAGAGTTATGCTGTAGAAAAGGGAAGCCTCTGAGACTTAGAAGGAAAAAAGGACAGCCTCTTTCCTTACAGGAAAAAGGAAAAGAAAAAAAGATGGTTATCTAACATCACACAGAGTTTGGAAGCCAGACCAAGTATAACTAACTCCCATCTACCAAGTAGATTATTCCATACTTTATCCACAATCCTCAGCCAAACAGCTCTGTGTGCTAGAAGTGTCTGTTGATTCATTCATTCAGCAGGTCTGTATCAGCTCTATTGCTGTCATGCGGGCTGCTGCTCTCGAGCAGGTGTCAGCCTGCAGTGGTTTGTGAACCAAATCCATCCACCTGGGTTTTGCTTTTCATTTCCATACAGTTGTAAGACAAAACTAAGATTGTGTAATATGTGAGTATTGTATGAAATTCAAACCACTTTAGCCATAAAATTGTTTCAATGCATGCATACCCACCCTTCATATATCATCAATGGCTGCTTTCATGTTACCACAGTAGAGCTGAGTAGTAGTCACAGAGACTCTAATATGGCCCTCCAAGCCCATAGCATGGCTTTTTGAAAAATAGATGTGTTGGTCTCTTCTCCAGAGAACAGGTTTCACCTTGTACTCTGTTCTGTGGCTACCACTCAAGGGTCAGAAACAAGCAAAGGGAGACGACCCACCAATCCACCAAACTATTTCAGATTTTATCTCTTTTATTGTCTGTCTGTTCTAGGTTTCAATGGAAATTTTTATGTGAAAAATGAAAGGGTTCTGTGGCAGAAGGAAAAGTTCTAAAATCACTGCATTTAGGGAAAATGGCATTACATCTTTGTGATGCTACATCCCCAAACGTCAAGTATTGATTGACCTTTGTCAAAGTGCAAATTCCAAGACAATAGAAGGATTTAAGATGTCTGTTCTCTACCTATACCATAGTCTGTTAAAGAACTCTAGTATTATAGGTAACTGAAGCTTCTTGTCACATTGCTCAGTGGATGACTCCAGGGCCTGATAACAGCATTAGCAAGAATTCTACTCTGGGGAATTCTGTAACTCTCTGTATTATACAAGTGCGACAATGACTGACTTTAAGAAATGGTATGAGACCATAGCTATCATTAGATATACTGTGGGCATACAGGGGAGAAGACAGGAACCATTTCAAATTTTACAGCAGCAATTATTTGCTGTGGACCAATATTCAGAGATTATCTTTACTTGCTGTAAGATTATAATAATTTTATCGGGCTGGGGATTTAGCTCAGCGGCAAAGCGCCTGCCTGGCAAGCGCAACGTCATGAGTTCGGTTCCTGGTACCGGAGAAAAACCAAAAAAAAAAAAAATAATAATAATAATTTTATCTTTCTGTATCCCCCCATCTTCTTTTTATAAAGGTATGGCTTACACTACTGCAGGGCTTTACAAGCAGATTATATCCCATACGTAGATGAACTCCTGACCTCTATCAACGCAAAACCCAATCTTCTCTCTATGCTGCTGACCGACCCACGTCTGGTTTTGACCATCATCTTTGGCCCGTGCTCACCATACCAGTTCCGCTTGGCTGGCACAGGAAAATGGGAAGGAGCCAGAAAGGCCATCATGACACAGTGGGACCGAGCATTCAAGGTCACCAAAACCCGAACTGTACAAGAATCCCCATTTCTCTCTGAAAATTTGCTTAAACTGTTTAGCTTTCTTGTTTTGCTTGTGGCTGTTTTCCTGATTTTCTTATAAGTGAAACGTGTCCTAAATGCCTTTGCGGATGCACAGAGTATTTACAGCATTCTGACTCCTCTAGTATAGCAACATCGCTTTCAGGTTGTAAACCATGTCCAGACAGTAAAGACAACCAACGCCCCCCCCCCCAGTTAATCCAGAGAAACCCCTGCTATTCTGAATGTCTCTTGGCTCCATTAAGTCTAATCCTAGAGGACAATAACAAAGATTTCTGTGCATTTGAAGGGTGTTCTACATAATACTCTGAGCATTCACACCTCTTTCTCATACAAACTATTTTAAAGATTTCAACTAAAAACCCCTGCCTCACGAAAGATTGATGTGTGTTAAAACGGTGCTCTGATGGTATTGGCTGACTAAGAATAAAAAGGAAAAAAGAAACCTAGAAACGGATTGTTTCACGTGATCTTTTGTTCTCTTTTCATGGGTTGGAGAAAAAGAGAAGAGGATGAGTCTGTGAATAAAGCCCATGACATGATAGTGGATCCAGTGAGTTAGAATTTCCAAAAGAATGTACTTTCCTGGGTTTGCTCATTTCCCGAGAACATGCTCTATTAAAAAAAAATGACAGCTTCAGCTTGTGAACCAAAAATTCAAATCAAATCGACTCCACAGAAAACACCCATCTTCACTTGCTCGCTGCTCATAATATATCTCATTTAGACTTTCATTAAAAAGACTAAAATATGTACTTAAAAATAAACTTAAGTATTCACAGAGATGAAGAGCTTATAAACTAAAAACGACAAAATCATGATAAAATTAAGGAAGACAGAAATGCATGGAAAAGCTTTCCATTGTCATGGATCGGAATACAACATTTTTTAAAATGTCACACTATCCAAAGCCATGGACAGATTCAACACTATCTTCATTAAAGTGCCAAGTCAATTTAGGATACTATAAGAGAATATCAGAGGCTAGGTGGTGTACACAACAAATATTTATTCTCATAAGAGCCAAAGGCTGGAAAGTCTAAGATCAAGGAAACTATAAATTCAGTATCTGCTGAGAAGCTTTTTCCTAGTTTACACAAAGCCATCTTCTCATTATATCTATGGTAGAAGAATGAGATCTAGTCCTATAGAAGGAAGACTATTTTGGGAAATAGATCTTTCTCCCCTTATAAGAGGAGTGAGTAGTCCACCCCCATGATCTCACCCAAACCTAATTACTTTCCATTATTATTATTATTATTAATTACCTAATAATATCCCATTGAGGGCTGTCATTCCAACCTGTGAATTTGGGAAAAGAGGCACAAATCTGAAGTCTATAGCCAACACTGTGAAAATAAGTAGAAAAAATAAGCCTAGAACTCCTAAAAAAGTTCCAGGGGGATATCTTCTGGACATTAATCTTGACAATGATTTTTGGCTATGACACTGAAAGTACAGGTAACAAAAGTAAAAAGACAAGTGAGCCTGCATCAAACTAAAGGGCCTACATACAACAAAGGAAACATGTGAATATGCAACCTGTCAGAAGGGAAAAATATTGAAAAGCACATATCTGTTAAGAGATTACTAGCAAAAAAATAAATAACCTGTTTTAAACATGGGCAAAAGACTTGAATAAATATTTCCCAAAAAGTTACATACATGGCCACCAGATAAAGTTTTCATCATCACCAATCATGAGAATTATAATTAACACTACCAAGATATATTACCTCACATCTGTTAGAAAACAAAGGTATTGGCAAGGATATGGGGAAATTTAAACTTTTACACACTGTTTGTGATAATGGAAAATTATGCAATTATGGAAAACGTATAAAAAGCCCTTAAAAATTAAAAATAGAACTATCCTATGATCCAGTAATCCCACTCTTGAATATATAGCTAAAAGGATTGAAATAAGAGGTTTCAAAGAAATATCTCTTCTCTTGTGTCTGTTACAGCATTATTCACAATAGCTAAGATAAAGAATCAACATAAATGTTCATAAATGTATGAATGAATAAAAAGAATGCAGACTAAATACATGTGAGAGTTAAAAAAAAAAATACATGTGAGAGTTAATCTTGATTGCCAGTTTGTCTTGAGAGGCAAGTGGGAGATTAGTAAAGCATACTTCTGGAGGCATCTGGGTCATGAGGGTGTGACTTGGGGACTTTTCCTGGTCCCTGATCCCTACCTTTCAGGTTATTCCTCTGCTCTTTGCTTCCCAGATGCCATAAGCAGCTTTCCTCTACCATGCTTTCACCACAATATTTTTGCTTATTAGCATTCTGCTCTACACTTGGGACAGTATGGGCCATTAATCTCTACTTAACAGTATTTTAGGCTTTCTCTATATAGCTTTTGCAAAATATTCCCACCTCCTCTTGCAAGCCAGTTCAGCCAAGTTGGCTGATTATAGAGTGAAATATCTGAAACTGTGAGCCAAAATAAACCCTTTATCTTTTAAACTGTATATGCCAGATATTTTCCCCAGCCACGGAAAGCTGACCAATACAGAAAACTGATACCAAAGAAGTGAGTTAGGTGCTGTGAACATGCTTGACATTGTGATTCAAAAACCTTTGAACCAGGAGCTGGGGATTTAGCTCAGCGGCACAGTGCCTGCCTGGCAAATGCAAGGTAGTGAGTTTGGTTCCTGGTACCAGAAAAAAAAAAAAAAAAAAAAAAAAAACCTTTGAACTGGCTTGCAAGAGGAGGTGGGAAAATTTTGCAAAAGCTTTCTAGAGAAAGCCTAAAATACTGTTAAGTAGAGATTAATGGGCCATACTGTCCCAAGTGTAGATCAGAATGCTAATAAGAATGAGGCCAAGTAAGACTACATCAAGAACTTTCTGTTAGAAATGAGGAGTATACTGGGAATTGAACCACAGACCATTCATGTCCATAGAGAGCCTTCCAAGGCCTCATTGAAGCCCAGAAAATTTATATTTATAATACCATGGAAAAGTTATTGGAATTCTAATGAGTTAATTCCAATCTACCACTTCCAGAGCAACCCATGGAGAGAATAAAGACACTAAGGCATATTTGTAGTTATCGGGAGCCAAGGGGTCCTAGGTCCAGTTATGATGATTGCTAACAGGGACAAAGGCCTCAACCCAGGGCCAAACCCATGTCTTATTAACTGTGAAGAAAGGAGTGGCTTGAGTATGAATGACTGTGAAAATGGTGGGAAGTATGTGAGCACCATGAGCTAGGAAGCATAGGAGGCCTGAAATCACCTCTGCAATATGCAGAGAGAAGGGTATGAAGAAAGAGTAACCTGCATAACACAATTGAGGTAGTAGCTAATATTTTGAGGGTGGTGCTTCAGCTCTGGTGTGTAACTTTTTATATGCTGGGAAGTCATAACCTCTTATCTTGAGGCTCAATCAAGGCCAACAGCATGGAGCACAGCTCTCCACCCCATCCTGACTCACAATTGCTTTTTGTGAGCTACAGGAGCAGAGAAACACTGCTCTGTTGCCTTGCTTCAAAGACTACACATTAGCACCTTGGCTGGACCATACTGCATTGCTTAAAGCCAGTTAAGGGGATAAGAAAAGTCCTAGCCAGCTCTGTATGTATCAGTACATGCCAGGGTTAGCCAAAATGCAGATAACTGCTCTTCCTTCAAGGACAGTTCTCCAGGTGGTCCTCAACACATGTCATCTTCAGGTAAATAATTTGTCTGTGGTTTATCCATACTCTAAAACTTTGTGTGAAGCTAAGTTTAAAAGCAATGGATTCACAGGGTGTATGTGAACCCTGTGAAAACCAGGTGCATTCCGTTAACTGCCTGGGAGAGCCCAGACCCAGTGCCACTCCTAATGCTGCCATTGCAGGGTATGTCTGAGCCTGGGGAGACCTAGGTATGCTACATGAACTTCCTGGGAGAGGCTGGACCTGGAACCCCACCTTCCACTGCCATTATGGGGTAAGTCTGACCCCGGGGAATGCCAAGGACACTCTATGAGCTGCTAGGAGAGGCCAGACCCAGTGGCCTGCCTCACACCACCATCATGTGGCAATTCTGACTTCCAGAAAAGCCAGGGATGCTCTGTGAGGTGGCTGAGAGATGCTGGACTCGGTGCTCCACCTCCTGCCACCATCAGAGGGCAAACCTGACATCAAGGAAACTCAGGAACAATTGGGACATTCAGTGAGCTATCCTGGAAGGGTGGAGACTCAATGCTCCACCTCCTGCATCAAAAATGACAAGACAAAGGAGCAAAATGCAATCTCAGAACTCCACCCCACCAAGAACAGGTCCAGGAGACATCAACATAGGAGAACACAGAGGGCACACACCTGAAATTTCTCAACTGATAGCAACTGATAGCATCAGGCCATAGAAGAAAACAGGTCATAAATAACCTCTCAGGTAAAAAAAGAAATGACAACAATAATGAAAGCATTGCTCAGCACATTTAAAGGAAACATAGATTAAAAAAAAAAGAGAAGAATAGAAAAATCATAGAAACTTTGAATGAACAATATAGGAAAGAATTAGAATGCATGAAACAGATTCAAAGATATATCCAGAAAATTAAAACTTTCATCAAAACCTGGCAAAACTGTTCAAATGAAACTGAAGATAGACTTTCAGACCTTGAAGACAGCATTGCCGCTAATGATCCTAAAGGGAAATATCTCAAAAATAACAAGGAACCAGGAAGTAACAATTCCACAGCTGCACAATAATGCAAAGGAAAAAAAAATGTAACACTGATAGCTGTCAACAAAACAACAGGAGACAACACAAATGGCATAAAAAGATTATTTGAAGAAGTAATAGCAGAAAATTTCCCAAGCATGGCAAAAGCATCTGACAACCAGTAAGGAAGGCATATAGAACTTCAATTAGCCATAACCAAAATAAATCTACACCCAGACATGTAGTGATCAAGATCAAAGAAATTCAACATGAAAACAGCATAGTAAAAGCTGTTACATAAAAGAAACAGATCACCTATAAAGGAATGCCCATCAGAGTCACAGCAGATTTCTAGTCAAGAAACCATCTAGTCAAGAAGAGCTTAGAGTGAAATATTTCAGGTCGTAAAACAAAATAACTTCCAACCCAGACTGATATACCCTGCAAAACTACCTATCAAAATTAATGGAGAAATAAAATATTTCCATGACAAAGAACTGAAGAAATTCATGAGCACAAAACCAATAGTACAAAGACTACTAAAATATATTCTAGAAAGAGATAAAAACAACCACAGTTTCTAGAACAATACAGAGGAATCACCAAGGAAGGTAAGCAATTAAACAGAGAAAAAAAGTAGGGAACCAATAGCAGGAAAATAACATGACAAAGATAATCCAATAGATATCAGCTACAACCATTAATGTAAACTACTTCAATTCACCAATCAAAAGAAGTGGGCTTGCGGAGTGGATCAAGAAACAAAAATCCAACAATATGCTCTCTA